ACCAATGAAGAGGTCTTGGAAGAGGGTGTGACCTTCTGCCATGATACAATGAGCTTCAGAGAAGTTTTCAGTAAAAGTAGGCATTCATGAGAAAAGAGGCAACAAGGGTAGAGAAGCAAATGGAACACGGGAATGGCTTTGTGTTTTTCTGGTTTTGTTTTCTTGTTTTGTTTTGGCTGATGTTCCTAACTTAATCATTAGAGATTGTATACTTACAGTGATATACTGTATGTATACTATGTTCCAGAAGTAGGTGAAAGTGTTATGTCTCAGTTTATTGGTTTTTGACAAAAGAGAAGTATTAATCTCCATATATTATGCATCGATAAGAAAGGGTTTGTTTTTGTTTTTAAGGTACCTGTGGTGGCACATGTCTATAATCCCAATACTCAGAACGAGAAGTAACAGGATCAAAAGTTCAAGGCCATCCTTAGCTACATAATAAGTATGAGGCCAGTCTGGGTTACACAAGATTCTTCTTTAAAAAATCCGCTTTAAAAAAAATTTCTTGCAAAAAAAAAATTAATGTTCACCACCTCCCTACTCAATGGACTTATTACAAAGTCATCTAAAATCATGCATGGACAAAAGGGTGTAGCCCAGTGAGGAGCAGCAGTGTTGCTAACTTATGGGAAAGCTTAAACTTTTAGCTTTAGTTTTTGTACTATTTGAATTTTTTTTAAAATTTGGATTGTGTAGATAGGTTTACTGTGAGCTAGCCACCAGCACCAACAAGTAATAGCAATGCCTTTCCTAAGTAACATTTCATAGGTTGGAGTTTGGAAAGCAATAACATAATAAGATGAAATTGACCAGTCCTTTGTTTATGCTTCTTCTTTGCCCGTGTATAATACATATGCAGAAAAATGCCTGAGTCTGTAAAGCTTAATGAATTTTCACAAACTAAATGAGCAAACTGAGTCTAATTGCCACAGCAGGAGGCTTCTTAGTGTTCCTGTCTAATAACTGCACATACACACCCAGTCCAAGAGTTAAAACTCTACTGACTTCTAACACCATAGATTAGTTTAGCCTGTTTTTGTGTTTTAAATGAATGGACTCATACTGTGTGAGTTCTTTTGTGCTTGGCTTCATTTGCGCAACCTTATTTGTTGAGACTCATCCGTGTCATTGCATTTAGGTGTAAATCATTGACTCTAATTGCTGTGTATTATTCCATTGTGTAAAAACGCCGTGATTTATTTATCCTTTCTACTGTCAATGGCATTAGTGTTGTTTCCAGGATTTGGCTATTATGACAAATATTACTATAAGCATTTTTGTACCCGTGCTTGCTGTGTTCCTCTGAGGTGTATACCTAGAAGTTCAAATTTGCAGTTGATAAATCCAAGCGCCTCAGTGCTTCTACACCTGATCCCCACCTGTTGCACTTTTTCCCTGTGGTTTTGCACCCTCCACCCTAGTCCCGTTAATGAGAAACTTGTGGAGAACTACCTGCTTTCACCCAACTCTTTTGCTGACGGTAGGTCCCTGAATCACATTAACTTCCTGGGGTCCCCAGAAGTACTTTTCATTCCTAAACATGTTCCAAACATATCATCTTCATTCCAGAGAGGTTTTTCAAAGGGCAAATTTGGGGCATTTCTACTCTGTGATCCAGAGTCCCATGATAGATGGTTGATAGCACTTTAACCCAGATTTTGGTTTTGGTAGGAGGTGGTTTCCACAAAGTCAAAAGCGACTACAAAGGAGTCTTTGCAAGAGATAGAGATTGGATCAGCACTACCCCACTTTCCACACACACCACAGCAGAAGTCCCAGGAGGACCATTAGAACAGGGATTGGCCGTTACCCCTTACATCCTACCAAGAAGCCTTCTTGACAGTCTCTAAGTAGAGTGTAAATCACAGCTCTGCTGGGCTTTGAAAATCTATCTTTTGTTGCTAATCTCTCTGTTCTGAGGGGTGGGTGAGGGATGGAGAAATCCTAGAACACTTTGCGAGTCCACAAACAAGTTCCAGACAATGGTTCCTGCCCTTGCCAAAGCTGTGGTTCAGTTTTTTAACAAGCTCATTGGGACGAATTCTTTTTAACTGTATTTTCCTGGTTAGCTCCTTGAAGTTACTGTTGGGTACCTCAGGGTGGAGTCCCCAAACCTCAGCATTCTTCTAAGGGGCTATGGACGCAGGAAAGAGGATGGTCTGGACTGCCCGTGGCCTCAGCAAGGTGCCCCTGGCTCAGAACTAGCAACCCTACACAGGACTTAAGGGGGAAGCCTTCCCTAGACATGCAAACAAGATCTGTTCGACAACTGAGGTTTTCATCAGAGAAACGGAAGTGTTGGGCTTAAACCAGCCCCTCCCAAAGTTCCTACACCGAAATTTTGATTGGTTTTCTCATGAACATAAAGTTAAAATGGCTGGGGGGAGATAACTCTTTGACCTATCAAAACTCCACTTCTGAAGACACCACCATTTCCTTTACATTAGTCTGATTTAAAAAAAATATACATGTACAATATTTTTATTCTAGGGCCATGTTTTCAGTTCTCCTAAAACTTGCCAGGCTGGCGTGTTTGTGGGTGACTTTCTGAATGGAATTTTGTTCACAGACAGAGGGAGACAAGAAATAGTAAAATAAGAACAAAACAACAAACAAACAACAAAACTCACCTTTTCACAAAACAGTAACACCAATTGAAGCTTCATAGAAACACACTAGACTTCGCGCTTGCTCTCCTCCACCCTTCACCAAGCAGCATTTTATTATACTTATTATTCTGTTATTATATTAAGCTAATGCAATTAACCTCTTTCTCGGCTCCTCATGCCTTCCAAAACTAATTTAAACTCCTTGCCATCCCTGTCGTTAACCAGAACAATAAATAGAGAGCCTGCTTAAACTCTTTCTCACCCCAACTTTGTTTATCTTCAAGAAGAGAATGTTTGTAGCTCACAGACCTTAGGGACTAGACCAGAGGACACCTGTTAAATACAAAATGTGCCACCTACATGACCTCAAATCCACCACAGATCCCACTATCATACCATTTACAGGCTAGGTGGCCTCCGCGTCATGACAGTTGGTAAGCCTTGACATGACCTATAACCAGGAAGAGCTGTGAAGGACCAGAAAGAGACAGCGTCATATTTCTTTCAAAATCTTCAACCATTTCTAGAAAATATGTGACTATTCTTCCAGTTAGTCACTGCATTCTCTCCTCCCGAGCCCATCATGTCTTTCTTCTATATTTGTGGCTTAGTGTTGTGTGATGTTTTACCCCTTTGCGTTTCTGAGGGGCCCACCACTCAGCTCCCAAATAAATCACACAGACACTTATTCTTAGTAATGAATGTCTGGCCTTAGCTTGGTTTGTTTCCTGTCCACTTTTCTTAACTTTAAATTATTCCGACTACCTCTGGACTTCTATTTTTCTCTATTTCTGCATACCTTTATTTCTTTCTCGGTGGCTTACTGTACAGCTGAATGACTGGCCCCTGATGTCCTCCTCTCCTTGTTCTCTCGCTCCTCCTTCGCCTCAGTTTTTCTATTTATCATCTCTGCCTGCCAACCCCACCTACCCTTCATCCTGCCTCTCCAATGGCCATTCATCTCTTTATTAGACCATCAGGTGTTTTAGACAGGCACAGTAACACAGCTTCACAGAGTTAAACAAATGTAGCGTAAACAAAAATCACACACCTTAAAATAATATTCCCCAACAACTTAGCCAAACCAATAAGTGGCCAGGTTGGTTAGTTAATTTTCAAACCTGGACTTTACTTTCCCATTCTCTGGAATGGAATTAATATTTTATTTTGTTTTTACTTCCTGCTTTTGTTTGTTTTTGTTTTGGACACCAACAGTGAATGGGAAAAGACCCCTTTTGTGTGAGCTTCTTCCTTCTGGTCACAGGGTGAAAAGGGACTTCCTTTACTCTAAGATTCTTTATTCAGTCCCAAGAACATTTCCTTTTTTCTTGCAATTTCCTCTCCTAAACATTTCTTCTACTTGAATTAAGTTTATTTTCTTTGTACTTTTGTCTCACTGATGTATTTTATCTTCTTGCATATCTTTTCTGAAAATCAAATAGTCTGTTGCCTACATGTCAACCTTCTATATGTATATAGTTCCTATTCGTGAATCATCCAGAATATAGGTCCTGAGTCTTCTGGTCTCCTGGAGAAAAGTGACTTAGCTCATTGCACACTATCATGAAGAGGACGCCAAGCTTTCCTTCAAACTCAAATGTGGTAGAAACATCTGTTTATACCAATAAGAACCTGGAAAGAGTCTTTATAGTTCCATAGCACAGCCTTCCTCAAAGATTTTTCCAGCTCCTTTTCTTTGTTCACACTAAAGGCATAAGAGCCATTCATTATTTTCATGTCCTTGCAAACAGTGGCAAAAGCAGGTAAAGGAAGTTGACCAACCAGCCACCTGAACAACAAAAGCTCACGTCACCAAACCTTCCTGAGCTAGACTCTTTATTTTCAACAAAAATTCTTTAAGGCAATAGGCACATTCCATGAATATTTCATATTACCACAAAATATGATAGTATCCACTGCAATGTATGCTTTAGAAAGACATCCAAAGAATGTAAGTTCTTGAACCTCACAACAATGCTTCAAGGAGGAAGAGAAACAATAGCAAAGATGTTTTGTAAAGGAGGAGATGAGACAAATTTATGTAGACCATGCTAGGCTTCTGGATCCTAGTTGGGATTTTTTTCCATGATTTTTAAAGGGGAATTAAATAAATATATACAGGAGTGTTTATTAAATAAGCCTGGCATAACACCTGAAATTTTATAATTAGATACATGGGTTAAATATTCTATTCCTAAATATAAAATGTAAAGCTGTGAGAATTTCCTATAGAGTAAATAGCAGAAGTCATGTTTAATGGCATGCAAGCAAAGAAACGTGATCCTGAACAAGGTGTTTGTTGAAATACTAATGAAAACAATATCCTTAAAGAGCAAGGCATATGTCCTATCTTTGTGACTTCCTAGTCTGTGGTCTTGAGCAGATTACCTGATACAACATCTTCTTCATCTCTACGGGAGTTAAAACATCCAAATGATATAAGGATCGAAACTGTAAGGCTGGTGTGCTCTGGAAACCTTGAATCTGCTCATTAAACCAGGAAGGCTTTTTGGTATTTCCATACTTCAAACAGCAGCTGATGAAAAATGCAAGAGTGTCGAAGAAAGTGAATACAAAGCACTAAAAACTCAACTCAGTGAAATAAAGCATGCTTCCTACTGCGGTGGTTTGAATGAGCATGACCCCCCACAGACTCATCTATGTGGATGCTTGGACCCCAGTTGGGAGAGACTTTTGGGAAGGATTGGGGGCTATGGCCTTTTTGGAGAAGCTGTATCGCTGGGACTGGGCTTCGTTATTCCCAGTTAGCTCTTTGCCTTGTGTTTCTCGAGTGAGATGTGAGCGTTCAGTTCCTGCTCCAATGTCATGCTTGCCAGCCTGTTGTCAGGCTCACCATTATGATGGCCGGGGACTCACCCTCTGAAACCAGGGGCCCTCATAAACTTTATTTCATAAACCACCTTGGCCCTGGTGTTTTAACACCACAATAGAAAAGTAACCTAGACATCTACCAACACAAAACAAACTTTCCCAAAGAAACAAATTTCATGAATACATCTGGGAAACCAAAGAACTATCTGGTCAGTTGCTAAGTGAGAGCTGATCTAGATCCAAACCTCTTCTGTAAATACCCACAGCCCCTCTTCCTGCCCGCTACCGCATGGATATCCCATACCGCCAAATCCAGTCTTCAGATTCTTTCATCCGGGCTCTCTCGGCAGGTCTTCAAGAAAAAAGAAATAGAAAGCAAAAAAAGGAGTAAGATCTTATTTTACCTCATTGTCACCTAAATGGGTCCAGTTTCTTCCTCCAAAAAAATTCTGTCCAAAAACAAAAAAACAAAAAACCACCACATTGTGCATATACAAGCAAAACAAACTGTGGAGAGGAGTAAGTGGGAGTTGGATAATTCAGGTCATGGAGACAATAGGTTCTTTCAAGAAAGAGAAAGAAATCTTTTCAAAAAAAAAAGAAGCCAGATTTAAGAGTCTGTATAATGGCATCAGCTAGAGTCCCTTTCTTTAAACATAAACAGATGTATAACGTCCACCAGCCCTCCAATACAGTAATACAGCTCAAATACCTAAAGGCAGAATGTGGATGGATGGTCATGAGAAAGTATTATTTTAAAAAACCCCATTGTTCAAAGACCTTTAGTAAAGATAATCAAATTCATTCTTTCAATTAAAGAATGTGTATTTAATATCTCCTCAGAGCCCAGCCATGTAGGAAGTGCCAGGGTGTTTACAGAAACAGGAGACAGGGCACCGGAGGAACACACTGGCTAATAGAAGACAAGATAACAGAAAATTAATGGTATTGCGGGGAGGGAGAAAGGACAGGAGAAAAGAAAAGAATAAGAGGGAAATAGGTAATGAAAGGGTATCATGGGGGAAAATGCCTAAATCTCCCTGGAGAATTCTAGAATGGCTTTAGTGTATGGCATGAATTACTAGTAACATTAGTGATGATCATTATTATTGTAGATAAGTCTGAGATAAATGTGAACAACTTAGATCAAGTGCATCAAAAAATCCCTTCTGAAGTTACATGCTTCTCACATGATGGGAGATGCCAGAAACAGGCCATGAAAATTTTGTCAGGTGATTTTTCAGTCATAGGAAGGTCACTCTAAACAGGACATCTGACAAAGCTGCAAGATAGTTGAACTGTACCTTGCTAGCAATTTAATTCTTAAAGAGATGTTTAAAACAAGAGAATATTAGAACTAGAAAACACAGGGCAGACACGTAGCTGAACACCTCAGTCCTTGCTGACACATCCCCCTCCACTCCCTGTGCACTTGATTGGTTGGTAACTTGAAGGCCAAACCTTTGTTTTCCTCATTTTATAACATTAGACCTTAGAGCATACCAAACAAGTATCACGGGCTTAATGTTTTCTGAGACATGAAACTAAATGACTATTCCTCCATTCCCTTTTTTATAAAGGCATAAACTGAGGTTTTGAAGCACTGAAAGTTAAAACGAAAGTTAGTAGTAACACAAAGATAGAAGCCTGGTCCTTGAAGCTCAGTATACTCTGTTGATCATCATGGCCTAGTGCACAGCGGCAATGAGCCCTCAACCAATGGAGTGCGTGCAGAGGGTGTTTGGAATGCATATGATTTTCTCTCACCTTCCACTGGGTACACCTACTTTATATCCATGCCAAAAGAATGGAACTCGGACATCTGACCAACATTTTTAGACCACTGTTAGATGTTAATGATCATTAAAACCTTTAATAATACCTCTGACATTATCCCAAGATTCTTTTTTAAAAAATTAGCTCTCTCCTTCTCTTTCATTCTAACTCCATGCGTGTGTGTGTGTGTGTGAGTGTGTGTGAGAGAGTGTGTGAGAGTGTGTGTGTGAGAATGTGTGTGAGTGTGTGTGTGAGAATGTGTGTGTGAGTGTGTGTGTGTGAGTGTGTGTGAGTGCATGCGTGTGTGTGTGTGAGAGAGAGTGTATGTGTGAGTGTGTGTGAGTGTGTGTGAGTGCATGCGTGTGTGTGTGTGCGTGTGTGTGTGTGTGAGAGAGTGTATGTGTGAGTGTGTGTGTGTGTGTGCGTGTGTGTGTGTGTGTGAGAGTGTGTGTGTGTGTTTCCTCCTCTGTACAGGCACATGTTCACATGTGTACATTTTATCAAAGGTCAACCTCAGATGTCATTACAGGTATCATCTACCCTTTTTTATTTCTTTTTCTTTTTTCTTTTTTTTAGATTTATTTGTTTATTTTGTTTACTGTGTTCTGTCTGCATGTATGCCTGCAGGCCAGAAGAGGGCATCTGTAATGAGATTTCATTAAAGATGGTTGTGAGCAACCATGTGGTTGCTGGGAATTGAACTCAGGACCTCTGGAAGAACAATCAGTGCTCTTAACCACTGAGCAATCTCTCCAGTACCCCCCCCCCCCCTTGAGACAAGGTCTCTTTCTGGCCTGAACTTTTTTCATTCTGTCAAGCTGGTGGACCACTGAGCCCCAGAGATATGCTCTCTCTCTCTTACCTCTGCACTGACATTACAAACATTCTCACAAGAAGATTTTACAGATAGGAAATAAACCCAGGTGTTTCTATTGTTGTTGCTTTTTTTGCTGTTGGCTTTAGTTTCTTTTGGGTTAGTTGTTGTTGTTGTTTATGTAGGCTCTAGGGATCAAATTCAGATCACAAGCATTTTATTGACTGAGCCATCTCCCTAGCCCAATTGTCCCAAGATTTTATACCTGCTTAAGGCAACTGAACATCCATCCTCTAGAGAAGATGAGGACAGACTGTAGACTGCCCTGGGGGTCAGTTAGTCTAGGGGTTGTAACCCTCCTGGCAGGTCAGTTATTCCAAGGCCCCGGAGAGGCACTATCTGAAAAGACATGGGTGGGAGAGAGGAAGAAGGCCAAGCAAGGTGTTGTCAAAGCCTCCCTTTATTAGCGTCATGGTTGCGGCTTATATAGCCCCTGGATGAGGAATTTGGGTTGGGATGGGGGGCAGGGGCATGACCAGGGCAGGAAGGGATCTTGCAGCGATAGTTGAGCCGGTCACAAGGTCTTCCGTGAGGAGGTTACGATTGGTCAGATCACAATTCTTTGGTCAAGAGGTCACTAGTTGACACACCTAGTTCTCTAGATAGTTGGAATGTGGGGCGGGTTCTGCTAACAGATAGCTCTCAAGATAGTTGGGTGTGGGGTAGGCTCTGCCAATAAAACAGTTCTTAATACCGTTGGGGTATGGGGCTCTCTGCAAACTCCCCAGGAAAGTGGTCCCTGCAATACTTTTGGGGGGAAATGGCTCCTGACAGACAGACCACAGACATTCCCCCATGGTATTCCCACTTTCCACTGTAAATCATTAACTGAATTCTATCTTAGTACAAAAATGGTATTCATTATCCTTCAAATAACACTTACATGGCACTTCTCCACTGAATTAGTGAGCAGCTCCAGTTCACACCTAACAGTTTAGTCCACTGATGCATCTGTTCCTCCAAGCAGTGGAGGGTCTTCTTGGGCTAGTACTGTTTTTATTAATGATTATTTTTATTTAAATTATTATTACTACTATTATTAGTGTGTGTGTGTGTGTACATGTGTGTATAATGTGTAGCAGGTGTATGCACTGACCATGGCACATGTATGTCAGAGGACAACTTTGGGAACTCAGTTTTCTCTTTCTAGCTTTAATGTGCGTTCTGGAGATCAAACGCAGACCACCAGATTTTTGTGCTTCTACCCACCGAGCCATCTCACAGGCCCTCTTGCTACATATCTTGTACCTTGTACCGTGGTGTTGACAATGTCGATGATAATTTTTATTTTCTGGGTGGCTTTCATTACAGTTGGTGGCATCTAACACTAAGGACTGTGCACAGAAAGGTAAGGTGACTTGGGCACCAAGCTTCAAAGAGGTTTTTTTTGGTTTGGTTGGTTTTTTTTGTTTTTTTGGTTTTTTCGAGACAGGGTTTTCTGTGGCTTTAGAGCCTGTCCTGGAACTAGCTCTGTAGACCAGGCTGGTCTCGAACTCACAGAGAACCGCCTGCCTCTGCCTCCCGAGTGCTGGGATTAAAGGCGTGCGCCACCATCGCCCGGCTTCAAAGAGAAGAAAAAAATGTCAAATAATGGTTATTGCTCTCTGTCTGCCTTCTAATCTCCATGGAGCAGGGGTGTTACTCTAATTTTACCAAAAAGAAAACCAACCCCACATTCATCTAGCTAATGAAGTGTGCAACTGGGACTCCAGTCCATGATTTTAGGCTCCACATTGACATGAAATTTTGCTGACAAGAGGGAGGATAAAGTTAACCATCAAAATCCACCACATGCCAATTAAATTCCCCTTGCAAGTCAGCAGAAGCACTAGCCTCAAGAAAATGGAATTGAACTATTTTTGAAAATAGATTTCTTTGTTTCAAACTCACTCTTCATATAGGGATACCATTCCAAACCTAGCAAAGTATAAATTTTAGTCACTCATGGCTTAGCAGGAAGAGAAAACAATTAAAAGTAATTTAAAAGCAAGTAGACCAAGTAAGTAGAAAAATATTTTCACTTCAGTTTGTGTGGAAATAAATTCAGAAAAATAAAACCATGAGTATTTCTTAGAAGGTTCTGGAATTCATTTGTCAGGATCTAACGTTAAATTATAAGTGCACTTGACTGAAAACCAAATGTTTTCAACTATGGCTATACCTTCTAGAGCAGTGAGTGCTTCTCAACCTTCCAAATGCTGTGTGTAGCGCCTGCACTTTGGGACTGTATGCGAGCCAGGAACTAGACTGGAGATTTAAAAACATACATACACATAGACAGAGGCACATGGACACTGGTCATCCTTGAATGCCACCTTTATTATGCTTCAGGGAAGCTTATTTAGGGATTCTTAACTGATAAGCCACACCCTAGCTCTTTCCAGCTGTAAAACCCACCAGAATTCACTGCCCTGCCATCAGGAACTCATGAGGGTCTCCTGCTCAGAGCAGCTGCAGGCACAGGTGTTTTGCTCAGTTCACTCCAGCAGGCAAAGGGTCTGAGGCAGGCAAAGAAAAGTCAAGGGGCCAGGGGTTTGCAGCCCTCAACAGCTGTGACTCTTTAATACAGTTCTTCATATTGTGGCGATCCCCAAGATTAAAATTATATCGTTGCTTCTTCCTAACTGTAATTTTGCTAATGTTATGAATCATAATGTAAATAAATATCTGTGCTTTCCAATGGTTTTAGGAAACCCCTGTGAAAGGGTTGTTCCATATCCTAAGGGGTCGTGACCCACATGTTGAGAACCATTATTCTA